CTGAGGATCGAACCCAGTGCCTCACATGTGCAAGGCAAGTTCTCTGTCACCGAGCCACAGCCCCAACCCTCCACTTAAGTGTTTAATATACTCTCTGCAGTCTAACAACAACAAAAAAAGTTTTGATCATAAATGTAATATATTTACGTAGCAAAGTTTTAATAGCATAGAATATTACTAAATAATAATAAACATTTCTTTTTTTTTTAAAGAGAAAGAGAATTTTTAATATTTATTTTTTAGTTTTCAGCGGACACAACATCTTTGTATGTGTTGCTGAGGATCGAACCCGGGCCGCACGTATAATAGGCAAGCGCCCTACCGCTTGAGCCACATCCCCAGCCCCAATAATAAACATTTGTCCCTGAACACTAGCCACCTCCATCCCACTCCCAGGAAGTCTATGTCTGGCTTTTCTGGTAGTTGGCACCTGTGTTGAAAAGACCTCTGCTTCCTATGTCATCAATCCTAGATGATGTCTGAGGCCTCCATACTTCTCCACATTCCACCTTTCCTCCATGAATCACCATCATTTTTGTAATATTACTATTTTTAATTCTTCTGGTGGCTAGTTACCTTTGTAAATTTAGAAAGYTTTTCTTAAACCTCGAAATTTGTTCATAAACTTAAGACAGTACCTATTGGTGCTTCACTAACTCTGGTAACATACTGGTAATGGGTGGGKAAACTTGAAATGTATAGAAGCTAGTGGAAAGAATTTAGAAGTCTCTAAAGATGTCTACCAAAATCACTGCAAGGTACATACACTCTAAAGAATCTCACAAAGAAGACACGTACAAAGATCACTGTTGCAGTATTATGTAACATTTAAAAATAGCTCTAATAGGGGCTGGGACTGGGGCTGGGGTTCAGCTGTAGTGCACTTGCCTGGCATGTGTGAGGCACTGGGTTCGATCCTCAACACCACATTAAAATAAATAAATAAATAAAATAAAGGTATTGTGTCCATCTACAACTAAAAAAAAAATTTTTAAAAAGTATTAAAAATGCTACTCACACCCTTTTATCCCTCCCCTCTCCCAAAACTGAATACACTTGTGTGTCTTCATCAGTGATACTGCACAGTAAGGACTCCACTACATTTCCCACTTACGCATTCACCTGTCTCTCCATTTCCCTCTCACGCAGAGATGTCTTTAGGTACGTGGGCTTACCTACTTTCTTCATAGCTTTTATACACATCATGGGAAATTTTTTGTCATAATGTGGGAAGATGACCAGGATAAAGCACAACATAGTCAAACAACTCTAGCAGACAGAAGACACGCCCCCCTCCCCCTCAGGAAAAGAGCCTCATGAGTAATACACATCCTGCAGCAGCTTCCCCAGACTCACGCTCAGCACTTTGGATAGCCTGCCAAGGGAGACTTATGACACGGGGTTTTCATTCATACACTTAAATCTCATAAACATTTCTGTGACTTATTACAGCAAGTAGTCCTCCAGAAYGGGGAACATGTACTCCATATGCTATTTATGGGCAAACACACTCCCTAAAGTATGAAAGCACTGAGGGAGACAACTGCAGGACAGCGACTGTCTTCTAGGGAGTGAGTGGGAGACACAGGATCAGGAAAAGATAGCTGAAAAGTTTCATATATCTTTTGATTTCTTTTTAAAAGGTGAGGTAAGGGTCTGGGGCTGTGGCTCAGTGGTAGAGTGCTCACCTAGCATGCGTGAGGCATTGGGTTCGATCCTCAGCATGATATAAAAATAAAATAAAGATACTGTGTTCACCTAAAACAAAAAAATAAATAAATATTTTTTTAAAAAAGGTGAGATAAAAGGTGAAATGCTATCATTATTAAAATACCAGCACAGGGCACGTTATTTCCTGTAGAGTTTCATGAAATTTGAAGGACCAATGAAATTCTTAACCCATCTGAAACAGGCACAAGTCTACCAATATTGAGCAGATCACAGRAACTATTCAAGAATTTGAATCTGATACTACACAGACAAGGGAACTAGCGTGTGGTGTGCCTGTGGTTTTAGCCCTGTAAACCTCGTATCCTGACAAGACTGCCTTCCATGAGAATCTCCACCCCTGCCTCTGACTTCCTGATCCCAACCTTGACCACTCTTTACCTCACATAGATCTGCTCTGGCCACAGTGGCCACCTTGCTACTCCTTGAACACAGAGTTGCCTCCATCTCAGGGAACTTCTGCCCCTGGGTTTTCATGTCTAAATCCTCACCTTCTTCAAATCCTTGCTAAAATCCACAACCACTACCCTCTTTAAAATGACAAAGTGAGTCCCCAGTCTCTTAACCCCTGCTTCCCTGYTTATCTACCTGTCAGTTCTTACCACTTTCTAGCATTATGTAATTCACACACCTCCAGCCACAAAAGAAAACCCAGAAATTTGGACATGTTTTATCCTTTGATGAATACAGGTGCCTGGATAGCACCTAGCACAATGCAAGCACTTAAATATCTTAATTAATAAAGCTTCAATCATTCTGTACTACAGTGTTCTCTGGTACTCACACAACTACCAATCATTCTTTGCACCCACAATACTGCTCAAGTATACGCTTTAATTCAAATAGTCTGAGTGTATTCCCATTTCTGTGAATTCTATTCAGAGTCTAACATGCAGTAAGAAACTTGATGTTTTTAGAATTAATGAATTCAACATCTTGAACATAAGGGATGCAGGACATTTCTATTACAAAAAGAATCACCCTCAGGTAACCAACTGCAGGTCTCTCTTTAGAAAGATCACCTTAAGGCACAATCAGAAGACTACTGTCCGGGTTCAGAGCTTTTTTCCTACAAGGACAATAAAAAGATGCACTCAAAATGTCATAAAAATAAATATCATCTTAACACATACACAGATAAAAGAAGTCAGGTCAAATTTAATTAAGATCCAATAGCAGGCTATGGAGAAAAGGTATTTATCTCTACTTTTTAATTTTTATTGACCTCTGTTTTGACAGAGAAACAATGTCGCCAATAGAAGTTTATCATGCTAATTAAACATTTCAGGGAATAAATTTTAAAATAAATTATTTAAAAGTTGGTAGTGGGGCTGGGGTTATAGCTCAGTGGCAGAGCACTTGCCTAGCACATGTGAGGCATTGGGTTTGATCCTCAGTACCACATAAAAATAAATAAATATATAAAATAAAGGTGGTGGGGGAAGCTGATAGGAAAAGTTTTTAAAATGGCCACAAATTATTTGACATGCCTCAAGTTGGGGAARTGCAGGTTACCCCATGCCCTTCATTCTGTCCTGACCTTAGTCATGAATGAGCTTGTTTAACAACTAATCAGATGAGTTTCAGCCAGGTTCTTTGGAATGCCTGCTCTCTAAAGTGTCCTTTCACAAACTGGTACCTAGTCATGTCATGGAAAGGAATCATAAAGGTACTCCGGTCACATCATGGCTAAGCCTGTCTTAGCCTAGGTCAGTCTAGCCCAGGTGTCCTGTGAAGAAGCGGCCAGATGATCCCAGTCACAAGTCATCTAAGTCTTCCAGTATTTGRGTCTTCCAAGCTAGTCCCAGACACTCCGCAGCAAAGACAAGCCGTCCCTGCTGTGCCCTGACCAAATTCCTGACCCACAGAATCTGAGCATAAATAACTGGTTGTTGTGTTGCACCACTAAGCTTTGGGGTGGCTGGAGAGAAAGAACTGGAAACAAGTGCTGCCCCAAGTCTTTATCTAATCACCATACTTTATTTTTTCATGAGATGTCATTGGTTAGTACACACAAGTCATTTATCCAGAAGTAGTATGGCACAAGATTCATGCTCTAGCAAAGGACAAAGCACTGACTCAATATTAACTTTGAAAGATGTCAGTCCTTTCCTAACCACCCAAGTCTGTGCCCTATACCAATAAGATGTACATACCTCTCACTCAAGAAATGCTAATGTGTCTCTCTGTCTCCTTCTCACTCTCTTCTCTCTCAGAGCAAAGCATTCTCTTTTCAATATACCACATCAGAAAGAGGAAAGTAAATTGTGGCTATTGGTACTCATGAGGCCCTAATGCTAAGTGTGCAATATTTCTGAAATATTTTCTTCTTGAAGAAACAAATTCATAAAATTAAAAATGATCACAATTTACTATTTCCAAAAATCTTTCCCTAGAAACAAGGATCTATAACTGATAGAAAAAATATTAAGGCAAAATTTTGATTTCAGAAAACAACTTTAATCAAAATCAGATGGACCCCTTTGTTCTTGTTTTTAAGCACAAATTTAATCAATCTTAAAGTATTATATAGCTATAGAGTGAAGAGCTCAAGGCTAATAATAAAAAAAATCTTTTATTAAGTCATTCTTGTAAAAGCAAAAAAAGTAAAAAGTAAAATTAAATGTATGCCTTACACTGGCAATAGAAATACTTTTTAAAGTAAAAACAACAAAAACTCAATTTTATTATAACTAGTTTGTAGTCAATACTGCCCTCTGGTGACACAAAATAAAAGTCAAATGTCAGAAAGTGAATGTAATACTTAATTTCAGTGTTCAAGTCAAGGCATCTAGTCTGGACTACAAATTCCACCAAAGACAAAATAAATAGATTCATTATTACCTTCATTATCTATTTCATGTTAAATTAGAGACTCTCAAGGGTTCTTATACATGGAAAGAGCAGTTCTTGCATAAACTATTAATGAAACATTACTACATGGTAAATTTTATCTTTAGTAAAATTATTCAATTTAAGGAAGACCCTGAAGGCATGCTACTCATAAGTTAAGAGGGCATGCAGGGCAGTGAGAGGAAAGCCTTGCCACCTGTAACAGAAAATTCCATGGGAAGGGAGCCATAGTTCTCAGCGCCTGTGTATCTAACACACTGAAAAGTGCCCATGGAAACCAAGGCCTCACAAGCCTGCCAACTCTGCCCCTCAGGAAACCTTACTCCTTATTTTTAGGAAAAAATCTTAACAAAAAAGAGCACATTTGGCTGCTAAATATTCACTAAGTGTAGGAAATGTTTCAAGAAAAAAAGACTTACCAAGGCTAGTGCCATCCTGCCCCATGATGCACTTCATTGAGGTGATGATCTGCTCCACCACAGGGGGTGACAGAGATGYGGCATACACTGCACTGTGAGAATGTGTGCGCAAATAGTCAATCAGCTCCTGGGGAGTTCAAAGAGGCAGATAATTAGAGGCAATTCTTTAATTTACTGGCAATGTCAGTCACTACCTTCCTTCCAGGTGCCAGTGGACACCTCCCTTGAATGGCCTGGCAGAGACACTAACCTGAGATGTGAGGTCAACCGACAGGGTCAAAGTGTACTGTCAGCAACAACTGGGTTAGAATCTCTATAAAGGTTTTTATCTTTTTTTAAAACCAATTTCAAAGTATCTTTTCTCTATTTAATGTTACCAACAAACAAGGAGGCGTTCTGGATTTCCCTTTTACATACAATAATTTACTTCTAAGCATTACAGAAAATTTCACTTTCATCTCACCTTACACTTGCAAGGCTCATCCTTATACCCTTAAAGTAACAGTACTCAGTCTTGGGGTTCAGCTTGGTGGTAGAGCAAATGCCTGGCATATGTGAGATTCTGGGTCAGTCCCCAGCAATAAATAAACAAATAAATAAATAAATAGTCTCTAATATTGATTTTAAGGGCATCAGAATATCCTCCAGGGGCTGGGGATGTGGCTCAAGCGGTAGCGTGCTCGTCTGGCATGCATGCGGCCCGGGTTTGATCCTCAGCACCACATACAAAGATGTTGTGTGCACCAAAAACTAAAAAATAAATATTAAAAAAATTCTCTCTCTCTCTTTAAAAAAAAAAGAATATCCTCCAGTTATATGGAGATTTATAAAATTATATAAATGTGGCAGAAATAAGTCTTTCATTAGAACAYCAATGCTACCTCACTGCATAAAGTAAAGCCCTGTTACAAGGATTTCTAAAACAACTAATTATATACCCCTGTTCTCTGGTACTTTTTAACTTCACTTAAATCTTTAAATAAATAAAATGTGGGGCTGAGGCTATGGCTCAGTGGTAGAGTGCTCACCTGGCACTAGTAAGGCACTGGGTTTGATCCTCAACACCACATAAAAATAATGTGGTGCTAAATATATATGTAAAAAAATACAAAATAAATAAATGTGCACACAAGTGTTATTACCAAAACCAAGTAAATAAACAAAAATATGATAACATGTGCTAATACTTCTAAAATAGTAAAAAACATGCCCCCAAACCCAGAAGCACAAATGTTATACTTAAATGATCTCCCAGAATATTACTTTTCTATCCTCTGGTATACAGGAATAAACCTTACCAAAAAGCAGTTAACTCTCCAAAATAAGCCTAGTTCCATTAACAAAAAGGGTAACATTTGAGAATAAAATCCACCAAGCCTGATTAAAACCTACTGAAAATGTGTTTTCCTTAAAAGGCAACCAATTATTTAAAGAATGACTATTCTTTAAGACACCCAACACCAGGAATTTAGAATATTTTTGAGTACCTACTATGTGCTATATATGAATATCTGACATATACCATTTTTCTAATGTTATAGTGATTTTTACAAATACTTTTATGAAAATATAAACCACATGCTATTATATTCACCTTTTAATTTTTTGGTACCAGGGATTGATGAGCCCAGAGGTGCTTAACCATGGAGCCACACCTCCAACCATTTTTATTTTGAGATAGGGTCTCATTAAGTTGCTTAGGGCCTTGCTAAGTTGTTGAAGCTAACTTTGAACTTATGATCCTGCTGCCTCAGCCTCCTGAGCCACTGGGATTAAAGGCATGCACCACTGAGCCTGGCTCATATTCACCTTTTGAAAGTGTACAATTCAGTGGCTTTTAGCATATTTGGAATTGTGCAACTTTCACCAGCATCTAATTTTAAAACATTTACATCACCCTAAAAGAGAAACCCATTAAAGGTCCCTTCTACTTCTCCCTCTCCTCAGCCCTGGCAACTTCTAATCTACTTTCTGTTTCTACACCTATTCTTAATAGAAAACTTCAAGAAAAATCATCATACAATATGTGMTCCTTGGCGACTGACTTTTCACYTAACAGGATGTTGTCAAAGTGCATCCCTGTTGTATGAGGCACATATCATTTTAAACTCTTATTACAATATTTCAAGAGCTAGGCATATCTATCTTTATTTTGCTGACAAAGAAACTGAAAAGTTAAATGCTTTCCTGAAGGTCTCACAAAGCAAGCAGAGGCAAATCCAGGCCTGTTTCTTTAGTTCACCATTGCCACCATGCCGCATTGATTTTTTTTTTGAGAGAGAGAGAGAGAATTTTTTTTTAATATTTATTTTTTAGTTTTCAGTGGACACAACATCTTTATTTTATTTTTATGTGATACTGAGGATCTAACCCAGTGCCCTGCTCATGCCAGGCGAACGTGCTATGGCTTGAGCCACATCCCCAGTCCCACACTGGTTTTTAGTTACCTCAAAGTTCACTATATAATTTCAGAATTGAAAGATACAATGTTCTGTAGCACTCTAGAGCTAGCAAATGCTTTTTCTTCCTCTTTCTATGTTCACCCATGATACATTTGAGTCCAAGGGCCAGAAAACCGAGCTTCTGTTCCCACTGGCTCCCWTGACAACCACACTACTTTCGAAACCCAGCAGCAGACTGGCAACAGGAAGCAGCACTGTGTGTCCTCTCACAAAAGAGGGTATTCTATATCTCAAACCAGAAYGTAGTTTAGAAAGAAGCTCAAATAAGAAAACAACCAACAATGAACAGAACCAGCCTTTAGCTCAGTGAGGAGACATCAGCATCACTCTCCGGGCAGCTGAAGCGGGAAGCCCACTGGCACTAGGAGCTAAACCACAAACAAACTCAGGATCTCCACACCCCAGTTCAGGACTCATCTGCTAAACACTGCCAAGTTCAGGCATCCTGTTTTCATCTTTAATGGCCCATTCACCTTCTTGCCTCCAATGTATCCTCCAGAAGCACCAAAGCTCTTTGTGAACGTTCCCATCATGACATCCACATCCTCAGGATTCAAGCCAAAGTAGTCTACCACACCTCGACCTTTAGGGCCCAGGGCGCCGATGCTGTGAGCCTCATCCAGATACAAGTATGCCTTGTATTTCTTCTTGAGGGCAATCACTTCAGGAAGGCGAACAATAGACCCCTCCATGCTGGCAAAACAGGATTAAAAAAATATATACATTGAGACTTTTTACCTCTCAAAATTAGAAATTGTTGCTTTACTATTCATGTTGTGAGTTTATTTCTTTTTAAATCATCTAACGACTTCACCTGTGGTTTTAAATCAACAGGGTTAGTTGGTGCCATGGCTTGGCAGAAATCTAGAGGAAAGGAGATTAGATCTTTTAAGACAAGTGCCAGAATACAATAGATCCTAATTCATGACAGAAAGAATTAAGGTCACAGCAGAGTCTTCTAAAGCTTGTACTTATAGGTAACATTAGACTTTTGTATTACATTGCATACACAATTAAAATTACACAAAAGAATAAAAAATTAGGAGATCAAAGAATAAGGACTAGCAACATTAATYGAAGACAAATATTTCTTAAAATTAAGTGGTATGTAATTTGGTTTGACATATTAGAATCCATATTCTTGCCCATATGTGTGAGTTCCCTACGCCAAGAGAAAAATACAGGACCCAAAGAGAATGGGCATTAGGAGACTGTGTAGTGTACACACAAAAAGCCTTCTATTCCAGTGCTGACTTTGCTTCCAGGGTTTTCAACAAGTCWTAATACTGTTTCTTTAGTTTCCAGAGGGTGCAATGTAGCATTCCCTCCTTCAGCTTAATAATTCTAGAACTTCATGGACCCAAGTCACAAAGATCAGGACAGTGAAGTAGGATTACCTATATATTCCTTCCACAAGAATTAGAATTTTCTTCCAGGGCCTTCGTGTCCGAGGCTGACCATAAACAATGGCATCTTTTAATAGCTTCTCTAGGCTTTGCATATCTACAAGCACATGAAAAAGAATTGAGTCATAGACAATCTTCCTTTATCCTAACTTTCTTCCAAAAATTCAAATACATATTTCTTACTCATTCGGGAAGTGTGTCTTGAATAGCAAAGGACATGAACAAAAATAGAGTCAAGCAAAATGAGACTAGGGCAAAATGGTGAACTATTACCACCTTTAACTGAAACCTAAATGTGACAAATATTCAAAACCATCAACATGATTAAATAACTGTGGTTACTGTCTGCTTCGGTTGCTTACCATGCTTTCTGAAATGATCAATGCTTCATCTTAAATACTYTGCCTTCAAGTTAGCTTTTCTGTATTTGTAGAATCAAAGTATATCTCTAATCCTAGTGAGTCATTCATAAAGAAGAGCATAAAGAAGACTGAGCAAGAGTGTGAACAAAGGGCTGGGAATGTAGCTCAGTGACAGTGCTTGCCTAATGTGCAGCAGTACCAAATAAAAAGTGTGTGAACAAATCATCACAAATATGTATACCTTTACTTCAAAGTGTAGTCTCTACTTCCTTCCACCTGGGATGTACTCAATAAGTGCTTGTTAAATAGCCTTAATAGCCTAATCTTGGTACTGGGTTTAAAATACACCAATCTGGGTGCTTGTGTCTATGTTTTAAGCAAGTTTGGCAAGCAGTTGAGACTGTTCCCTATTCAACTTCCTCAGCCATTCACACATAACCAAGTTCTGTGGCTCTGCTAGTGCTTAAGGTGGTTAATCGGCCTAGGACACGACCTGGTATTACCATTAATGAGGATCATATGGTAAAGTTCCTATTAAAGACAAATGCTATGAAGACTGTTGCCACCATTATGACCTCCATATTTAAAATATTTGCTCTGAAATGAATCTTAAAAAATTCCCCCAGGGGCTGGGGTTGTGGCTCAGTAGTAGCGCACTTGCCTAGTATGCGTGAGGCACTGGGTTTGATTCTCAGCACCACATACAAATAAATAAAATAAAGGGGCTGGGGATGTGGTCAAGCGGTAGCGCGATCGCCTGGCGTGCGTGCGGCCCGGGTTYGATCCTCAGCACCACATACAAACAAAGATGTTGGGTCTGCCGAAAACTGAAAAATAAATATTAAAAAATTCTTTCTCTCTCTCTCTCTCTCTCAAAAAAAAAAAAAAAATTAAAACAACAACTAAAAAATATTTTTTAAAAAATTCCCCCAAATCTAATCCCCAATTCTGGGGGATATTTAATAGTAGCAGGAGACACCTCACCATAAAATATGAATTTGCATTTTTTATTGCTCATCACTGGAGAAGGGGTTTACAAAATCACATGTTTGCTCTTTTCATAAAAGAACTGTGATAAGGAGAAATAAAGCAATAAAAACACAAAACACAAACACAAATATGATAACCAGAGGCTGAGACTGTGCTTAAACTTTCAGCTATTTGCAATAAAGCAGTTTGCACCCTCCTAAGACAGAAGATGCTCTATACAGGAGTATATTTGCCCTAATTTTTAAAAACATATTTTTAGTTGTCAATGGACCTTTATTTTATTTATATGCAGTGCTTAGAATCCAACCCAGCACCTCACACATGCYAGACAAGTGCTCTACCACTATGTCTCAACCCCAGCCCAATCTGTCCTAATTTGAAGTCTATAGTTCTGCAGATAGCAATGTGGGGCAATCAGCCAGAGACAAGTGTATACTTGTTATTTGAGTTTCTTATGTTTATAGACAGAAAGGAAGAGGAAAATAAATATTGATTCTAAGTTTTAGACAAGAAGAAATATCTATAACAGAATGCTTGATCATATTATCTATTTGGGAAAAAACATTTAATCTCTTTCCCCTATTTCCTCAAATTTTACTATATATTTCCTAAAATTTCACGGAAATTTAGGTTGAAATATATAGTAAAACTTACAGAAAAGTATAACTTTATGATTGAAATGAGGAAGACATTACGTAAAATCCAACAGTCCCAACAAGCATGACAAAATAATATTGTGTCTGCATAGCAAGACACACAAAAAAAGAGTCAAAAATAAATTAAAAAATGGTGCAACTTTATATATAAAGGGCTCTTACAATCAGAGGAAAAGATAAACAGTTTGAAAATGGCCAATTTATAAAGTAACACCAGTAAACAAGTATCTAAAATAACTATATAAAAAGTTGCTTTACACTTAATAATCGAAGAAATAAAAATCAAAGTATTATTTATTTACTAATTAGATTCAAAAAGATTTAAAATGATTCATAATAACCTATGTTGTCCAATGATTAGAAAGAGTTATTTGTATAATGCTTAAAAGCAATTTGGAAAAGGATTAAAAATTTACACCCTCTTACTCAAGCATTCTGAGACTGCCAGGCACTAATCAGATGATTGTATAAAAATGGGAGTGAAGTGCAGTTACCAATAGAAAAGTTTAGAAACAATTTGAGGTTCATACTGAGGGGCGGATTCACTTATGACAAAATCAGAAATAATTGCCAAACTGGCATTAAAGGAGAAGGTAGTCATAGCTACTAACAATCTATGTTCACATTGTTAAAAAAAGGAAATTGCAGGTTACACCTTAGGTTTCATTTGATAAAACAAAATACATTTTAGGCAAGAAAAACAGAAGAAAGTTATTAAGACCCATAATCCTTTTCTCCAGAGGTAAAGAACATTTTGGAATATATTATTCTAGACTTTGATCTGTACATACACACATTTTGGCAAAAGATATTAAACATACGATGCAGTAATTTTTTTCTCACTGTGTGTATTTTAACTATGAAAATTGTGTTGCATTGTGTATTATTTAATAGTACACAAATATTTCCACTTGGAGAGCAGGTTTTTGCTTTCTGGCACTTTTCTCTGAGGTCCTACAGTATCTGTACATATCCAGATCTCTGTACTTGCCTAATGTAATGTAGATGCTGGTTTAACTGTTAAATCTTTATTAACCAGAGATCCTACAGATCAGGAATCCTGATTTATTATCTCAATACCCTTCAGGCATCTATTATGTATACTTTAACAAGAAATTTGCAAACAAGAAAATGGAATGGAAAACCTGAAAGTCAATTAAAAGGAGACTATCATATTTTGCATATAAGATCTGTGTTTTTACTCCAATGAGGAAGTGCACAACTTTTAAAAAACAGGAGAACATTTTAAATTTTCTATTTAGCTTCATTTATGTTTTCTATTATTAATAGAACYCTAATGTTACTATTACCATTGATACAAAGAATATTAAACCCTAAAGCATATAGTGAATTCTATGACAAAACTCACTGTTGTGCTTGAAGATTCGAATGGTTGCCCCCGACAGTCTGGCTCCTAGAACCAGCGATGCATGGTTTAGCTCATCACTCAGAATTAAGCAACCCTGCAAAACCACAAGCATAGGAAGGTAAGATGATGGAGGGGAAAGTGTTAATTATGCAACTTACAAAAGGCTAGAGTCACTAATAATTAAACCCTATTAAGGAAACCCTACACAACAGCAAAGTGATCGATTTTTTAAAAAGTGTATTTGTTTTTGCAGAGATACCTTAGAAATCGATGCAAAATCATAGCCTATTTAATACCTTCATTCTGTGATGGACCTAAACATTCAGATATACAGCAAGAGGTTCTTATTCATATGCTAAAATCATAAGATTTTAGCATATGAATAAGACCATCTTTAAAAGATTTGGTTTTCTCTGATTTGAGAATATTCTCTCTCTCTCTCCCTCTCTCTCTCTCTCTGTACCAGGGATTGAGATCAGGGCACTCAACTACTGAGCCACATCCCCAGTTCTATTTTGTATTTTATTTAGAAACAGGGTCTTACTGAGTTGCTTAGCACCTTGCTTTTTGCTGAGGCTGATTTTGCACTCACAATCCTCCTGTCTCAGCCTCCTGAGCAGCTGGGATTACAGGCATGCGCCACTGATTTGAGAATATTTCAACTGAATTTTGATATGCTGTACTGTTTACTTGTAGGAAATGGCATCTCAGAGTTAAGCCTGTAGAAACGGGGCACTGTTTCTCTCTACTAACCATATCATTCTGAATTCAGGAAGGATCTCACTTATAAACCCCATATCCCATGCTGTGTAAAATCTCTGGAAAAACTTTACTTTCACATGTAAATATGGTTCATGCTACAGCAACAGGAAAAGATTGATGCTCTTGGTTTTTTATTTCTTCCCTAATTCATACTAGGCCATCTCTCCTGGAGTCCTTCCACTATAAGGGCACATGGTGTTCTTAATGCACAGGTTTTTTTCTCTGTCAAAAAACAGCTTCAAAATATCCGATTAGATCTCATTTTCTCTGAATCACCTCTTAAAAAAACCCCTTTTCCTGCAGATGGCAGAATCACAGCCTTTGGGACAGGAATACCCTGTATTTCTCCTTTGCTAGAAAAGCAATAAGCCTTTTTTATCTAAAAAAAAAAATCAGATTAGATAAAATAATATAAGGTACAGAAAGTATACAATATGCTCCAGTAAGAATAAAAGGAAGAAGATGGATTAGCATATGCCTATTTATTACAGGATATTCTTGGACAGATATTTAGGAAAATTGTAATAGCAGGTATCTGAATTTTTTACTGTGTGCTAGTTTTTTATTACTTAAATAAAAGCTACCTATATCAAAATAAAAAAGGGCTGGGGATGTGGCTCTGTGGCAAAGCACCCCTGGGTTTGATCCCTGGTACTAAATAAAAGGCAGGTTTAGAGGTATGGGTACAAACTCCTGATTTTAAAAATTCACATTTATTATATACATATGTGTACATACACACAGCTGTGTTTGTATGCATGAGTTAGTATACATATATGCATGTTCTATCTGTATCCACTAAGGCATGTGAAGCAGTAAAATCCCATAGCAATAAACACACCTGGTTCCCAGACCCTGACTTCTAAATACAATTCTCTGGTTGATCCGAAAGCTAGGATAAGGAACAAAGCTGAGCCTGGAACTTTTTTTTTTTTTTTGTACTGGAGATTGAACCTAGGGGTTCTCAACCACTGAGCCATACCCCCATACCTCCCCTTAAAATTTTTTTTTTTTTAGTTATAGATGGACATAATACCTTTATTTTATTTGTTTATTTTTATGTGGTGCCAGGGATCTATTATGTATACTTTAACAAGAAATTTGCAAACAAGAAAATGGAATGGAAAACCTGAAAGTCAATCAAAAGGAGACTATCATATTTTGCATATAAGATCTGTGTTTTTACTCCAATGAGGAAGTGCACAACTTTTAAAAAACAGGAGAACATTTTAAATTTTCTATTTAGCTTCATTTATGTTTTCTATTATTAATAGAAGTAATGTTACTAATTTTTTTTTGTACTGGAGAATCCAGTGTCTCACGCATGCTAGGCAAGTRCTCTACCACTGAGCCACAACCCCGGCCCACCCCCAGCCCTTTTTATATTTTATTGAGAGACAGGGCCTTGCTAAGTTGCTGAAGCTGGCTTTGAACTCTTGATCCTCCTACCTCAGGAGGATCCAAGCTGCTGGGATTACAGGTGTGCACCCCTGCATCTGGCTAAGCCTGGATCATCTTAATATGCCAGAAAGCAAGAAAGTACTTTTAAAAAATGAAAAAGTTGTTGCATATTCTAAAGACACAAGAGCCTTCCTGAATGAGTTCCCAATGCCCCAAACTAAAATAATTCAGGTAACAAAAAGAAGCAATAATATTGGATTATTACCCAAATAATGAAAAAGTCACAAATACATAGTGATATAAATACATAGGGGACAATTCTTCCTTACACACAATTCAAATGAGTATTGAAGGAGAAAAGTAGAAAAATTTTTTTAAAGATTTTTTAAAAATATTTATTTATTTTTTAGTTATCGGTGGACACAACATCTTTGTTTGTATGTGTTGCCGAGGATCGAACCCAGGCGGCACGCATGCCAGGTGAGCGCGCTACCGCTTGAGCCACATCCCCAGCCCCGAAAAGTAGAAAATTTAATGTAAGAACATCAAAGTAATAACTGCTGTAGTTGAGATCCACAGATGAATACTAAAATTAGTAGGTGAAAGGCGAATTGCCCAATAGCATACACCAATACCGTGCACCCTACAGGGCACATGGTGTTCTTAATACACTGCTTCAGTCSATCATGAGACAGAGCAGACACACCCAAACTGAGACAGCCTACAAGGAAAGACAGGACTGTCACAGATTGGAAAGGACTGAGGAGCTACAATAACTGAATGTAGTTAGTTATGTACATACTTTTATTTTCTTCTCTCTCCAGCTAATTTCTTTTTCTGGAAAAATATGCAGTATCATTATGGCCTTTTTGTTTATAATCTATTTTTAGATAACATTGTTTACCATCTGTATGATTCAATCTGTTTTTCCCCCTCCTAATCTACTAGGAGTCCTAGTAGATTATATCCTACTATTATATCCTTGGTTTAAAAAAATGAAATAAATATTAAATATCAGCAGTTGACATCTAAGTGCATAATATATTTCAGGCAACATTTTCAGAGATTTAGATACATTAATACTTTTAATTGCCACAACAATCATTATGAGGAAGGTACTATTATCATCTTCACTTTACATAGAGGACACTGAGTCAGGATAACTCTCTTGCTCAAGGTCATCAAAATGCACATTCGATAAAAAGCTCCTGCATCCAGAACATTGTGTTTATCAACAAACTGCCCTCCCTGCATCGAAGATGAACAATCAACCATCTCACAGAGAAATTCAGTACCAGATTCAAAGAATTAGGAGAAGTAGACAGTTGCTGCCCTTAACAGGTTAAAGGATATTTAGTAACATTTCAACAACAATGTTTGAGATTCAGAAGACAAACCTTTAAGGTAGTACATTCCCATGTAAATAGAGAAGAAATCTAACTTTAGATAGGAATTTGCTAGAGTTTGTGTTCATACAGGGAGAAAATGAAGTTATCTAATGTTCTAAGTATAAAAATTCTAATTCCTAAATAAAGGACAGTAATGCCTTATAATCAATGTGACGTCAAAGAACCACACACTGTGTTTTTGAGGGAATCTGTATGTTTAATCCAAGTTGTTAGATTCACTAGCRTAAAGTTGCTCTAATATTCCCCCATTACCCTTGACTTCTGGAGGCAGTGAGCGATGCCCTCACTTGCTCCTGCTATTGGTCTTTTGTGTCTTCTCATCCTGATCAGTTGGCCAYACATTTACCAATTTTATTCACTTTCTCAAGAGGCAGTTTTGGTTTCACTGATTTCCTAGTAACTGATTTTTGCATTTATCTTTATTGCATACTTCCTTCTGCTTAGTTTGGGTTTCGTTTGCTCTTTTCTAGTTTCTTAAGATAGAAAGTTTTCTAGCTGGGTACAGTGGCGCACACCTGTAATCCCAGTGGCTCAGGAGGCTGGGGCAGGATGATTGCAGGTTCAAAGCTGGCCTCAGCAACTTAGTGAGACCCCAAGCAACCTAGTGAGACCCTGTCTCAAAAAAATAAATAAATAAATAAATAAAATAAAAAGGACTGGGGATGTGTTTCAGTGGTTAAGCACCCTGGGTTCTATCCCCAGTATAAAACATAAAACAAAAAACAAACAAAAAATAACTCACAAATGAACAAAAACATTTTCTTTTGACACTCTACATTCCCATCTAAGCACTGCTTTACCTTTATCCAACAAATTATGATATTAATTTCCATTTAATTGAAAATGTTTTCTAGCTTCCCTTATTTTTTATTCTTTGGCTCATGGATAATCCAGAAATGTGTGGTTTAAGTTTCAAATATTTAAGGATGTTCCAGATATCTTTGTGTTACTGATTCCTAATTTCACCGTGGTCAGAGAACAAAAACTTGTTTAATGGTCTGAAGTATGGTCTTGTTTATTTTATTTATTTATTTATTTATTTATTTATTTATTTATTTATTTATTGGAGACAGGGTCTCACTAGGTTACTTAGGGTCTCACTCTCAGTAAATGTTTTGCTGTTGTTGGGTGAAGTGTCTGAGTAGTGTCAATCAGGTCGGCTGGTTGAAAGTGTTTTCTAAGTGTTCTATATCCATATGGATTTTATGTTTAGTTCTACTGATTGATAGAGGGGTGTGGATATCTAATTAGAATTCTACACCTGTATACTTCTCCTTTAAGCTTCATCAATTTTTGTTTTGTGTACTTCAAAGCTCTGTTATTAGGTACCTATATATCTTGAAGAATTAATTCTTATCATATACAGTAATCCTCTTTATCTTCAGAAATATTACCTGTTTGAAAATCTTTGTTTATGTAATGTGGTCACTTCACATTTCTTTTGATTATTGTTTGCAAGATATATCTTTTTTCATTCATTCTTTCTTTCTTTTTTTTTTTGGTGGTGCTGGGGATGGAACCCAGGGCCTTGCACATGGTAAACAAGTACTCTTAACACTGAGCTACTTCCCCAACCATTCTTTGACCTTGATGTCTTTATATTTAAAATAGACTCTCATTTTATATTAGAAAGCCTACTTAATTTTACCTAATATAATAATGTTTTCTACTTGAAGGTATAAATTATTTACATCTACTATAATGTCAATAGTAAACTCTCCTGTTACTTGGTTTCTATTTGTCCCATTTGTACCTTACAGAACCACACAACTGTATAACTGAATTAGAGTTAGAATAATCCATTTATGAAGGAAAGTTTAAGGACCAGAAATGTTATTTGACATGTTCACAGTCACACAGCTAAGTATGACCATACAATGAACCAATAAACAAGCAAAACCTCCTGTCTGAGTTAACCCACTACTTTTTTAATGCACAAGTCCTAGACATCAATGTTAAAATGATGTCAAGGGTCCTTCAAGCTGACTGCCAATCTGCTAAAACACAATATACAAAGTATGTTATCCTTTCTATCTTCTAACTATCTATTCACAAGCTCTATCTACAGGATGGATGGAAAAATACATAAATGTTTACATATATATTTATATATAACTTGTCTATATGTTAGGATGACATATATTTTCATATTTTTCAATTTAGGATAATCCATCTATTAAATAACTTTCTGAACTAAACTTTCATAATTTTAGTCTTTCAGAAGTTTTTATTTATTAGACTCCCTTCAAAACTGTATGTTAAAAAGAGGAAGGCAAGGGCTGGGGATATAGCTCAGTTGGTAGAATGCTAGCATGCACAAGGCCCTTACTTCAATCCCCGTCACCACAAAAAAACAAACAAAAAAGAGGAAGATAAACTTGTATGTGATTTTTATATTGGTACTCAAACCCTTAGGAACTGAATGGCATTGCAGAGAGAAAAGATAGAAGGAATCCTGTGTGTTATACATCACTGCTTTTCAATGCTTCCTTAGCCACGTTAGATCAAACAACTGTGATTTCTCAAATGTCAACTACACATTTTTTTTTTAAAGATGGAGAATAAAATGTGCACACCAGTAATCTCAGCGGCTCAGGAGGCTGAGGCAGGAGGATTGCAAGTTCAAAAGCCAGCCTCAGCAACAGTAAGGCACTAAGCAACTCAGTGAGACCATGTCTCTAAATAAAATATAAAATAGGGCTGGGGATGTGGCTCAGTGATCCAGTGCCCTCTAGTTCAACCACCAATACAAAAAAAAAAAAAAAAAGAAGAAGGTAAGTTTCATCTAACAGAAAAGTAAAGGACCATGGGTTCTACAAGAAAGGTTCAACTGATATAAGACTCCATGATTGTCTGTGATAGAAATATGTTTGGAACAATGATGTGTAGTGTCAAGTTATGGTCACTTTGGCTTGCTTTGAATACTTCTGAAAACCAAAGAAGATATGTATGAGAGAATTTTTATAAATGACAAAGTGTCTTACTTTGCTAACAAGAGCAGGAATATTCATTGAATTTGTTGCAAATCCCATGCCATATGTCATAGCAGCTTCTACTCCCAAAAACCTTGCTACAAGCTTCTCTAGTTCTTCATGCTTGTCCAGGTTTCCTGTGTGAAGAAGTTAACAAAGTCAATATCTTAAAATCCTGAATTTAAGAATCACTCACCACTTTTCAAACAGAAACCAATCTATATGTTGTGACCTTTTCTATGGTCTATAAAGGAGTCAGTATTATGAAGAGTAATGGCTTATCAGGAACACAATAGAYAAAATACATTTAGATTCAGCATCTCTGGTGAGAGAATTGGCAAAAACAATTTTATGTTTCTACACACCAGCTCCAGCTCTAGGCCTTAAGAGGCATAGCAAGATTTGTTTCTGAGGGGCTGAGGTTGTGGTTCAGTGGTAGAGCGCTCACCTAACACGTGTGAGACACTGGTTCGATCCTTAGCACCACATAAAAGTAGATTTAAAATAAAGGTGTTGTGTTCATCTACAACTAAAAAAACATTTTTTAAAAAAATATTTGGKTTTTTTTTTCCCCATCTGCCATCCAAAACAGTGTAGCTGGTCTGTTGTAGAGATAAAACGTGTGGAAAGAGGGAGGTCTCTGAAGAATAAGAAACCATGGAAGTAGAGAGAAGGGGAAGGAGGAGAAGGAAAGCAGAGGGAAGCTGGGGAAACTAGCTTTTAGCATTTCTACCACCTAGGTGAGGTACCAGGCACGTTAAGTTAAGCCACCCTCTGTCCTCAGTTGTAATGGCCTACTCAATAGCATTGAACCCTTTCCAAATTGCAGGATCACAAGCATATAAATTTCTACTGTTATTTTAAACCACTAAGCTTTGGGTTGGTTTGTTGTGGAGCAACAGATAGGTTAAAAAGTTCCTTCTCTTTCTTTGATCTGACTAGTAAACTTGTATGTGATTTTTACATTGGTACTCAAACCCTTAGGAACTGAATGGCATCGCAGAGAAAAAAAGATATGGAGAAAGAATCCTGTGTGTTATACATCACTGCTGTACAATGCTTCCTTAGCCACATTAGATCAAACAGACTATGATTTCTCGAATGTCAACTACACATTTTTGTTTTAAAGATGGAGAATAAAATGTTTTACTCATTCTGGTTCTGGGTTTTATTAGCCCTGAGCTGAGCCTTGGGTAATTGAGGGCTTCCTGCTAGTGAGGTGGTTTGGCATTTAAGCAGTGGGTCTTGCCTGAGATGGACAGCTAAATTCCTTGACAACTATCCAGTGGTTTTCCTGCCTGCCTGTGAAAATCCCCCAGCATGGATTCCTCCTCATGAGAGAGTACACCACCCAGACTACGACAATGAATTAACCCAGTTTCTCCCCCAAACTGTCACACTGAAAAAGCCTCCTGGAGCTCAGTTGGGATTGTTAAATCCCCAGAGGAGGAAAGGCCTCCCAGCTAGGCATCTTCATCTCCAAGGTGATTCCTGACTCAGATGCACATCGAGCAGGACTTCAAGAAGGAGACCAAGTTCTAGCTGTGAATGGGGTGGATTTCCAAGATATTGAGCACAGCAAGGCTATTAAAAGATCCTGAAGACCACCTGAGAAACCAGAAAGTGTGCACACTTCTTTCCTTACAATTATCATCGTCAAAAAGAGAGAACTGTGCACTGAAGAGTTGCAGCCCATGGCCCTCCATGTGGAAACTGCCAGGCCAACCCAGCTGTCATCCAAACTGTACTGACTCTAAGTTCCCTAGTTTTCTAGGCAAGCTTCATTCCCTGAAAGGAAAGGGATGAAAATATCAAGGTATAACCTAGCCTGTGGGGAACCCAGCTAGAAATGGCAGCTGACATTTACTAGTTACCATGAGCTCGGCACATATACATCTTATCATTTTTATTATAGAAATTGGTCAGAAAATATTGGGAACCTTCCACCTGGTTGCCTAGCCACTTCATCCTACCCTTATACTATCCTAAGTTTACACACATTGGGGACGCCAATGAGACACTTTTGTCCCTTCCTCCTCCTATCATCTCTCCCAAAATGGAAAATACAATACTGAATAAATGTCATTGTGACTTTTGGGGAAAAAAATGTTTTATTTTCATTTCCCTATTGAAAAGCATCACAATACAAATGGAAGAGCAAGAAACAAAAACATAAAATTCTAATTTTCATTCATTACTAAATATCTGCAATCTTCAACACAATTAATGAAAATGGAAAATATACAGAAGGATGGTGTTATAGCTGAACTCTGTTCACTAAAAAGATATTTTGAGAAGCTGGGGTATTGCTCAGTGGCACAGTAAGTGCTTCTTAGTATGTGTTAGGCCCTGTATTCAATCCTCAGGACCAAAACAAAATAATAATAAACCGGATATCTTGAAGTTCTAACTCCTGAACCTCAAAATCTGATCTTTGGAAAGAGGGTCTTCACAGGGGTAACCAAGATAAAACAAGGTTATTGGGGTGGTGCTAAAATCTTCTCTTTTTTTTTCAGTTTTAGATGGACACAATATCTTTATTTTTATTTGTAAGTGGTGCCAAGAATCGAACCCAGTGCCTCACGCACGCTAGGTGAGTGCGCTACACTTAAGCCACATCCCCAGCCCATAATATCTTTATAAGAAAGGAAAATTTGGACATGGAGACAGATGTACATAGAGGAGGCGTGACAGAAGACAATGCTTGATACCCAGGAAGACAGCTGTGTGGCCCCAAGACAGGAATGCCAAAGATGTTGGCAAATACAGAAGCAAGAAAGAGAGTCTCCAGGGCTCTCAGAGAGAGCATGACCCTTCTGGCATCTTGACCCCAAACTTCTACCCTCCAAAATGATAAAACTATAAACTGTCTTAAGTTATCCAGTTTCTCACACTTTGTTACGGCAGCCCTAGAAAACCAACGCAGACGGGAAATGACTTAGAGTGACAGGTCCATATCTACGCCCTTACGAGTGAACATGGTTCAGTGAGAACCAAGCAAATTCATTGTATGGAACCCAGTGGAGGCTCAAAAGTTAGAGACAACAGGAATAAGAGAAGGCAAGGGTTAAGGAAAGGCGACAAGTGACTGTTTGAAAGATGATATTTAAAAACAGAAATTTTCACTGCTGATGGAATTGTACAATGTTGCAGCACTTTGGAAAAGAGCAATTCCTCAAAAAGTTAATTGTAGAGTTACCACATGACGGAGCAACTCCACTCCTAAGTATATACCCAAGAGAAATGAATATATAGGTCACATAAAAACTGTACTCCTGTGTGTCTGGCCACACTGTTCACAAGCACTCAAAAGTAGAAACAACCCAAACGTCCACCAGGAGATAAATGAATAAACAATATATACAATACTCACATAATGGATTATTATTTGGTCATAAAATGGAATGAAGTAGTGACGTATGCTATAAAGTATTAATGCATGCTATAACAAAGATAAATATTGTAAAAACATTAAGTGAAAGAAGCCAGACACAAATGACTATGATATTACAGGATTTYATTTATATAAAATGTCCAAAATAGGTGAATCCAAAAAGACAGAAAGTAGATTTTTGGTTGCTAGGAACTTGGTAGAAAGAGGGGAGAATATCCAGTCACTGCTAAAGGGCATGGGGTTTCTTTCAGGGGAAATAAAAAATGTTCTAGAATTAGAGTGTGGTGATGGTTACACAGCTTTTTGAAAAAATAATGAGATACACACTTTATAAGGATGTGAGTTATAGCTTAATAAAGCTGTTAAAAAAGAAACAAAAATAACATAGACGCTGCCTCATTCCTACCCCTATAGAAATAGGCAAGTAATTTTGCCTTTTCTTACCTCCACAAATAAATTATTCTTAACTCAGGGACACCAAATATAAAAGTATGCATATGCTAAAAATGGTGACTAAAGGTAAGGTTATACAGACAGGCTCGTATATTAAATTTCTCAGAAACAAAAGGAAAAATGAAAAACACAGGAGAGGAAGACAATTAGAGGGTAAATACTAGGGGGTTATACATAAATGTTTCTGAAAGTGAGAGTTGAGAAAATGCCAAAGAAGAAGTGGCACAAAACCAAAGGACCTGCTTCTTCAATATTTAAGAACCCAGCAAGAATCAAATCAGCACAATTAGTGGGAAAAAAAAAAAGACTCATACCAAGGCACAAATGGGACTTTTTCCCCMCCCTGCCCAAATGGGAATCCTTGATGTACTCAAGGGAAAGAGAAAGTCTTGGATGCTTTCCAGGGTAAGACACAGAAAGAAATGAGGGGGTTGTTGGGGAGGGGGAGTAAGGATAGGAGGAATGAAGGAAGGGAGTAAGAGGAAGGGAAAGGGGGAATAAAAAAAAAAAAGACCAAACAACAATGACATTCCTCACAGTAGGAGGGGAACCGGAAGGCTGGAGAATGTATATAGGAAGCAGATTTTTCATTACCCATCTTTTGGTACTTCTAGGATTATTAACAATGTTATGTATTGTCTACCCCCCAACACAGGCTTTAAACAATAAAACTTTTCAGATAGAAGGTATGATAGAATGAATGGCATACACAAAACTGGTGACCAGACGGCATTACACTTCTGATCAGCACCCCTCATCCCAGAGTACAATGATGCAACATCCTCACACTCTCAAGGAAAATATGTTCAACCCATAGTGTGGTGGTGGCAGAATTAATACTAAAGCAATACAGTTGATCAAAGACATCTTCTGATATCCAAATATATTTTGACAATTTCAGAAAAATTATCTCCCCTGCACCCYGAGGAAAGCACTGTATAATGAGTTTCACCAGTATGAGGAAGGATGTCAAGAAAGAGGAAGATACAGAATTCACGAAATAAGGAATCCAAGTCAGATGTGAGAGAAAGGGGGAAAAAAGAAGAGGAGGGGGGGGAGGTGGGGGGGAGGAGGAGGAGGAGGACCAGAATGCAACTATACAATAGTCTTGGAGAGCAACTAGCCCAAACTGAAACAGACAATTACATTAAGGAAGTATCTAATAGAACCTGGCAGACTATATGAAAAAGAATAGGGTTTTTCCAAGTTCTCTAGGCTCTTACTTAGAAGTTGCCTAACAGACTTTAAGGCTCCTCTAGCATTAAATTGGTACAAGATTAGAGGAATAAAAACCTTCATGATATAGCAGCTGCCAGGTATGTTTTAGATCATGCAAAACACTAGCCCACCATTTATTATTTATTGAGTTACTCTAGATACAAGCTTTTAAAAACTTTACCACGTGGGTTTGTTCTTTTTATTTTGTTGATGGTGTTCGGGATTGAACCTGGGACCTCATGTATGCTTGGCAAGTGCTCTACCACTGAGCAATACTCCCAGCCCCCCAAATTTAGGTTTTGGGGTCAAAACCTTTTATACTGCAGGTCAACATATACTTTAAGAATTAAGCCAGGGGCTGGGGTTGTGGCTCAGTGGTACAGTCTTTACCTGGCACGTGTAAGGCACTGGGTTCAATCCTCAGTACCACATAACAAAGAAAGAAGCAGAGAAGAAAAGGAAAGAAAGGAAGGAAGGAAAGAAAAAAGGTGTTGTGTCCATCTACGACTAAAAACTACTTTAAAAAAAAAAAAAAAAAGAATTAAGCCAGGGTTTGGGGTTGTGGCTCAGCGGTAGTGCACTCACCTAGCACGTGTGAGACACTGGGTTCGATCCTCAGCACCACATAAAAATAAATAAAATAAATGTATTGTGTCCAACTACAACTAAAAAGATAAATATTTAAAAAAGAATTAAGTCAAAGTTTATTTTTAATCATTAAAAACAAATCAAATAAGCTGGGCACAGTGGCACTGTAAWCCCTGCAATCCAGGAGGCTAAGCAATATAGCGAAACTCTTAGCAACTTCATGAGACTCTGTCTCAAAATAAAAAATAAAAAGGAGTGGGGATGCAGATCAGTGGTTAAAGAGCCTCTGGGTTCAATCCCCAGTAAGGAAATAGATAGAAAGATAGATAAACCGGGTGTGGTGGCACAGGCCTGTAATTCTAGCTACTAGTAAGGCTTAGGCAGGAGAATTTAAGTTTGAGGTCAGTCTGGGCAACATAGTGAGACCCCATCTCAAAATAAAAAATAAAAAGTATTGGGGTTGTAGCTCAGTGGTAGAAGACCCGAGTTCAATCCTCAGTACTGCAAAATAAATAAATAAATGAATAAATAAACAAATAAGTCACATCACTTTTTCTGCTCAGATACTACAAGAGAATATAAGGACCCTGATAGTAGCTAAGAAAACATACATTAGCCTACTCCTAGGATTTCACACATACAAGGCAGAGAACCTATGAAAATTTAGGGGGAAAAAAAACTGAAAAAAAAATTCAACATGTTCTAGAATTGGCTTGTCTGTATGTGGTACTGGGCACTGATCCCAGGGGTGCTCTATCAGTGAGCTATGTCCCCAGCCCTGTTTATTTTTTGAGACAGGGCTTTACTAGGTTATTTGGGCAGGCCTCAAAACTTGTGATTATTCTGCCTCAGGGAATTTGCCTTTTTTTTTTTTAATGGTGTTGGGGATTGAACCCAGGGCCTTGTGCATGCAAGACAAGCACTCTCCCAAGTGAGCTATATCCCCAGCCCAGGAATTTGCTTTTTTAAAAAGCAATTCTGAATATTTTCTGGAAGAACTACTTGTGTTTGTTAGCCAAGGACAATGACACTCTAGGAGATTTGGGAATAAAAATTATAGTACAAACAAATAAAGAAATCGCCTAAGAAACTTCACTAGCAATAGAAACTAGAATTATTGAAGATGTACAACTTGGGTATATGTTTTAAAAGTCCAATTTAAATAATAAAGTAGATGATATGAAAAGCTACACGATTCTATTTGATTCTGTTTTTACAGTTTCATTTCTTCATTCTAAGTTTAATGAGTTGACTGAGTTGCTATGATAGATTAGACTGGGATGCAAATCCTTTTTATGCTTGCACTGAGAGGTAAAATCTAATCTCCATAGCCCTTGAATCTGGGCTGGCTTTACTGACTCACTTTGATCAAAAGAAAAAGTATTTAATATTCTGGACTCACAAAGATAGGGCATAAAAAGACTTCCAGCTTTCAGCCAGGTATCTATGAACACTTGCTCTAGGGCAAAGCCCACTGCCATGTAAAGTAAGTGATTCTCCAAGATAGCCATGCCCCAAAGAAGTCCAAACTAGTAGCGTGGGACTGCGACACAGAGTACCAGGCATCTCAGCCCAGGTGAAACATGTGAATGAAGAGGCGTTCAGAGAGCTCTAGCCACAAGCCSATGTTGACTGCAACTGTGTGAGGGACTCTCATAGAAACCACCCAACTGCACTTGCCAGCCCCAGACCTGTGAGAACTCAATCTATAAGCATTAGGGTGATGCACAGTAAGAAGAAGGTGCTTTATGACGTCTGTAGCTATCAGTACTCTAGAACCAAATGGAAGAAGCTAAAATCCTCCTTTGAACTAATGAACTAAAATAAATCTCTTATATAAAACTAKAACCTTTTACCTTTTATAGACTTGTAACAATAAAAAGTTTACATTACTGAGTGTCTATTTCCACAATTAGCCTATTTAATTCTTGAAAGAGATCTATAAAGCAGAAATTATTATTAGCCCAATGTACTAGTATGAAAATAGAATAACCCTCATCACACCCTTGGACTAATAAGTGGTACTTCTAACTATTGCTATTTACAAAAGGCAATACAATCAATATTAAAGTTATAAGTGAAATAAAACTTATGGAACTTTACTAGGGACATTCTGTATGTATAACATATTGGAAAACATCTCAAAATGTGTTACAAACATAAAAATCATCCAACCCTTCAGAAAAAGAAAGCATTTTTTACCTGATCTAAAAATGCATGGCAAAGCAAATGTATGAATTTTAATACCCTAGCTCTTTTAAAAAGCAACTCTGTATCATCAGTATTCATTCCTGAGTTAAAGAAGTCAAAAGCAGCAGCAGCTAACCAAACACAACTCACACTTACCAATTTCCTGCCGAGTACTGCACACTCCAACGCCATACTCCTCTAGGACCCTGGCAGCTGCTTCTTGACATGATCCAGTGTTTCGTGCAAATCCAAGATAGTTGTAGGAACCCATATTTATAACACCTTTAATTATATTCCCTGTATACCTGTGTTTCAATAAACACATAAAATTTAATAAACTCAGGAGCAAATACAATACTTAAGTGTGATAATAAGTGCAATGTAACATGAAAGGAAACACCATAGGGATGTAGAGAAAACGTGTTCTGTACGAAAAGAAGCTCAAACTCAGTACCCAACCAAGGAAATGGAAGGTACAATCAAATACCAATTTTTACTTATGAATAATGATGAAGATTTAAAAACTGATGATATCCAGTGTTGGCCAGGACAGTGTCACAAACTAAGTAAGAATACTTTCTTTGGATGGCACTTTGTCAGCACTTATCCACTGAAAGATGTGCATATTCCTTGACTCAAGCAATTCTCACACATGAGCATATGCACAAGAGAATCTATAAGAGCCACTGCAATTAATTTGCCATGTCCCTTCCCTAGGCACAGAGACCTGTGACATTTCATGTGACAGAAGCTCAGTCAGCCTGAGCCCCCAAGGAAAGATGACTGATTCAGAGACTCTATCAACCTAAGGTAGATAGGAAAAGTAGGTAAGAAATAAAGTGTTGTTACTTTAACACTCGGKGCAATTGGGATGACCCAGCCCAACCTGCTATAGCATGGCACATTTAGGTAGCCATGATAAATAAGAAACCTACTGTGAATGTACAAGTAAGACATTATTAATACATTAGCAAATTAAAAAGGCAAACTGTAGGGCTGGGGATGCAGCTCAGTAGTAGAGCGCTTACTTAGCATGTAAAAGGTACTGGATTCATCCCCCAGTAGAGGAGGAAAAAAATGTAGCAAACGGTAGAATAATTTATATAGTACAATCTCAYTTTTGCATATCAAAAAGTTACCTGCGTATAACCCCAGTAGATACACTACACACATACCTCACAGAAAACATCTAGAGGAATAACACAAAATAAAATGATGACAATGGTCAACTCAGTAAAGGAGGATTTGTCGGGTAGTGAATTTACAGAGGACAGGGTTTAGTTTTCATGGGGGACTTTCTGTATAATCTATTTCCCCCCCCAGTACTGGGGTTTGAACCCAGAGACACTTTATTGTTAAACTACACCCTCAGCCCTTGTTCTTTTGAGACAGGGTCTTGATAAGTTTCCAAGGCTGGCCTTGAACTTGCAATCCTCCTGCCTTGACCTCCCAAGTAGATGGGATTATAGGTATTGTATTTTCTTTTTTAATAGGAAAGCAATTATGGAATATTTGTGCAATCTCTACAATTTTCAAAATGTTAAAATATAGTTTTTTTAACCAGTTAATCCATTTAAGTAAAWATACTTCATTTATCCTTAAATCATCAGAGAAATCAAAATATCCACAAATAAATTCAGATCCTTTACTCAATTCTATTAAGTGGAATGATGGATAGTCTTAAAAAAAAAAAAAAAGACAAAACTTTTTTTCTCAACTATAACCCACCACAGAATCAAATATAATAAAAAAAATATTTTAAAAATCTCAATAAAGCTGGGTGCAGTGGCGCATGCCTGTAATCACAGCAGCTCAGGAGGCTGAGGCAGGAGGATSGCGAGCTCAAAGCCAACCCCAGCAACTTAGCAAGGCCCTAAGCAATCAACCAGACCCTGTCTCTAAACAAAATATAAAAAGGGCTGGGGATCTGGCTCAGTAGTTGARTGTCCCTGGGTTCAGTATTCAGCACCCACTACCACCCACCCAAAAAAAAAAAAAAATCTCAATAACGGTTAGAGGCATAGCTCAGTGGTGGAGTGCTTGCCTAGCATGCAATATATGTATATGTATATGTGTATATACATATACATATATATATGGTTTGATCCCCCTATTCCTACCCCTACCCCCTCCCTAATCCAATTAACAACAAACAAAATGCAAGGAAAGAAATCTTGGTATTGATTATATCCTCAGCTGCTACTCCTGTTTTGAGAGAATACTTAATTTGCAATATTTTCTCTAATGAAGAAATTCTTTTATTGCTAAGAAGTAATTTCCCACTGAGACTCACTTGAATGACCAGTTGTAGTCATGAGACTGTCTCTCCATGATGTCCACCTTGGCTCCAGGCACGCTGCAGATCGGTCGATTCCAATTGTCTCTTATCCTCATGTAGAGGTTCCTTGTATAGAAGTTTTCAAAATCCTGATACAATGACACAAAGTCCTGCCAACAAATGGTGAAACATGTATATTTAACTGAGTTACCTTAAAAACAAATTTCACAACTTCCCTTTTTGAGTTGCAAGAGCACCTGAGAATGATAAGTCAGTTATATTTAATTAACTGATCTATCAGGAAAGGCATCAATTTTCTAAGTTTATTTCAACATAACTCTTATTAATCAKTTAAAAGTCACATCACTCTGAGGGTTGACTTACATTCAGGTTTCGAATAACTGACTACACAACTCTGACATTAAATGTTTTCTCTTCCTAATAATTAATATCCAAGAGACTGTTCTACTCCATTCCCCCCTGCCAATAATGTTAGGGGGAAATGCCACAAGAACCAATATAATTCCTGTTTCATACAAGAAAAATAATACCAAAATTAAGATTCCAGTCTCTCCATATTTTTGAGAATCAAAATGAAACAAATACAAAGAAAAGATGATAAACCAGAAATACTACCAAAAAAGAAAGAAAGACCAAAAGGTAGATTATAGGAAGTCATCCACCTTGAGTAGTTTCCCTCTTGGATTGGAGTTAATAACAGAACATTCTGAAAACTAATTCCCATGTCCACAGACTTACAATCTTCCTTTCCTTCCTGAGATTAAATWAAACTAAAATGTAGGTCTATAAAAATCAAGTCTCGGGGCTGGGGATGTGGCTCAAGCGGTAGCGAGCTTGCCTGGCATGCGTTCGGCCCGGGTTCGATCCTCAGCACCACATACAAACAAAGATGTTGTGTCCACCGAGAACTAAAAAATAAATATTAAAAAAAAAAAATTCTCTCTCTCTCTCTCTCTCCTCTCTCACTCTCTCTTTAAAAAAAAAAAAAAATCAAGTCTCAGTGGAGGTGAAATGAATGCATAACGCTATGCCCAACATTGTAGGAGCCCTGTTCAGAACACATGTGGCCAGACCATGTGAGCTCCACCCCAACTCCTCAGAATTCAAGGGTAAGAAAAACAAAAAGAAAACAGAACTGGAGTTTATTATGCTTCCAGTCCTCGGATCTGAGCTTGGTGCCAATCTAATCTGTTAAATAAATTAATAAAAATAGTTAAAAAGCGTAAGCCTCATTCTGTAAAAGATTTTCATGGCTAAAAAGATCTTACAAAACTCTAAAATTAACAACTTTCTATGGACTAGTAGAATGCTAAAGTGACTACGAAATAAATAAGAGAAGATGAATCAGAGTAGATGAATTGCCTTAAATAGAGCTGAGCAGAGTCAGAAAGAATCCTGAGCATTTGTCTTGCCTGATACCATCTCTTTCATAATTAGTTCCCAGAACAGAAAATATCCACAATGTGGATATCCCTCACAATTAGAAATTTGTCATTTAAGTAATTTGTCCGTTTTGGTACTGTCCTCTTCCAATAAAATACTGGCCGAGTGAAAGCATGAATAGAAGCAACCAAATTTTAATTAAAGACTTTTCTTTGGCTATCATTCACCTGCATGTCCAACAGAAAAAAAACAAGAAAGTTGTCCCCAACCTATGTCAACTCACATCAAATGAGGTAACAGGACTAACTCCTCTAGTAAAATCACAGTACTAATGATCTCATTTCTTTCTAATGAAAGGATAATTTCACTCAATCGCTGTCTAAACACTGCACAGTAGTGTTTAAGATATTAACTCAAATTGTTGAAAGAACTATTTCCTCACAAAAAAATTTTATTAGCAACACAAAACAATACTTTTTGTTTTGAATACATAAACATCAGGAAAAAACTTGAGTCTCATCTAGATACTAGAATGGTTATCGAATCTCCAGACAGAAAAAGGACTACAGGCTAGCACGAGGTAGAACTTCCTCTCTCAGCCTTGGATAAACTGAGTTAACCAAGGACATAACTGTCTGTAGTTAGAAGGGAGGAACACGTTCCAACCTCCTAACAGAGAATTGTTATTCTGAGGCCAAGCATCACCATCTCCTTAAGGCTACACTGAGAGGACAATGAGGTCCCTGAGATGGGAATACACTGGCACACAGTAAAGGAAGAGGAGTTGTCATACTGAGGGATGTTAGAGACCAAAAGCAGGTAGCACAGAATGGTTGGAGAAGGACTCAGGCCACAGTTTTAGCTTCCCTTCACTCCCTAGCTAAGTTCCAGACTACTAGCTTTGACCAGAAGTTTCGGTAGAGGTATCTGGCGGGCAGAAACCAACTTCTGCTGCTTAGCAATGAAGAAAAGGGACAGGAGAGGAACCACTATCTGGGATTCCAGTTCCAGGCAGTGGAAGGACTGAAGAGGAGTTGTTCCTCGCCCCACGATTCCTGTGTTCAACAGTGCAGGAATGTCCAGGTGAAATCAAKTCATTTGATGGATTAGTAATCTGAATGGTCTCTCTGTCTCTCTCTGCTTCCCAACTGCCATGAATTAACTCCTCTGCCACAACTTTCCACCCTGAAGTTCTTTCTTACCTCAGCCTCAGACCAATGGAACAGGCTGACCATGGACTGAACCTCTGAAATTGTGAGCCCAAGATGTAATGTCTTCTCCTCTAAGTTATTTTTGTCAAGTATTTTAGTCACAATGACAAAAAGCTGACGAACACAAATGTATCTGTTTTTCAAAAATATCTTGTACATTATTTTAAATATTCTAAGATTGATGTTAAAACAGGGTTTTTTTGTTTATTCATTCAAATATCTTTTAGTGAATACTGGATATTTGCTGAATTCTTTGTGAATCTCAAGGCATTTCTTGGGATCACAGGGAAAAGGGTGGGTGCTACCCACTTTCAGAAAATGACTTTGTAACTATTTATTGTTCTTGTTTGTTAGTGTAATTTTGTTTCCAAAGAGATGTCTACTTACTTTCATAAGATGATAACAATGATGATGAATAATCATAAAAGTAGCAATAATTCCCAGCTACTAAGATACACAAGGCACCAGCAGAAAGTTTTATGTGTATGTATACATCTATGCACCTAAGTACCTGTGCACTATCTTACAGAAAAGCTAAACGGTTTTCCCAATTAGGGAATTAGCAAAAACAGAACTGGGCCTTCTAATTCCAGGCTCTGCTCCTAACCCCAACGCCACTGCTTCTCATTTTGAGAAGCTTTTAAAATCTATCTGAAATACTCTGACATCATTCAAAGCACTTCAAGCCCGCTGTGCTACGGGCCTTCCCCACTCTTATCCTGTCTTGTGCTCATGATGAACGGGCCCTTGATATACGTATATACAGACAGACAGACAAACACATCTGGAATTCTAAAACCCGTATTTTCCAGACACCCTTGTGATCAGGTTGTGGATGAGATTCTACAGTGAGGCACATACACAAGATCTGAAAGGCAGAGAATACCTTTCTTGCAACAGCTCACCAAGAAAGCTCTAGTAGACTTTCACTGAGGCTAGGTTTCATGTTCCCAGCCACAATGGCAACACCTGGATACTCACAGCAGGAGCAGCTTCCTAACTGGGGGGCGGCTTAGTTGGGGTAGGAAGACCATAACTTCCTCTACCCTTTCACAGCGTTACTAACACTTAATTAAGTATCTACAGTGATTCAGTTAACTGCAATTAAACTTTACTATTTCAACAGCACATTCACTACAATTATTGCTGAAAAATAAATATTTAATGTTGTAAGTACCTTTTTGTTGTTGTTGTTTTGCTACCACAGATTGAATCCAGGGGTACTTAACCTCTGAGCCACATCCCTATCCCTTTTTATTTTTATTTTTTTATTGAGACAGGGGCTTGCTGAGTTGCTTAGGGCCTCACTAAGTTGCTAAGGCTGGCTTCGCACTCACAATCTCCCATCTCAGCCTCCCGAGCCAAAGGGACTACATGCGTGCACCACCATGTCCAGCAGTTATCAGTATCTTTTTTTTTTTTTTAAAGAGAGAGTGAGAGAGAGAGAAAGAGAGAGAAATTTTTTTTAATATTTATTTTTTAGTTTTTGGCAGGCACAGCATCTTTGTTTGTATGTGGTGCTGAGGATCGAACCCGGGCAGCACGCGTGCCAGGCGAGCATGCTATCGATTGAGCCACATCCCCAGCCCCTTTTTTTCTTTTTCTTTTTTTTTTGGGGGGGGGGGTACTGGGGATTGAACTCAGGAGCACTCGACCACCCTATTAAAGACTCTATCCAAAATAGCAAGAACACTTAAAACCATATCCCCAGCCCTATTTTGTATTTCATTTACAGACAGGATCTCACTGAGTTGCTTAGCACCCTGCTTTTGCTGAAGCTGGCTTTGAACTCACAATCCTCCTGCCTCATTCTCCTGAGCCTCTGGGATAACAGGTGTACATCACTGTGCCTAGCAGTTATAAGTATCTTATAATTAAAATTTAAATTATTTGTCTTGGTCACACAACCATTAAATGATATAAATGAAACTTGAGACTTGTAGCACTATTCCATACTAGTGGTGTTAGTGGTAATGCTACAATCAGCATTAGTGGTTTTAGTGGTAATGCTACAATTCCAATAAGAATTCTCAGTGTCAGCTGGGCATAGTGGCACATGCCTGTAAATCTTGCTCCTCAGGAGGACAAGGCAGGAGAACTGTAAATTCAAGGTCGAATTGGGCAACACAGTGAGACCCTGTCTCAAAATTAATTTTAAAAAAGGGCTGAGGATGTAGTTCAGTGGTAGAGCACTGGCCTAGCATATGCTAGGCCTTGGGCTCAATCCACAATTCAGAAGGAAAAAACAAAACAAAAACAAAAAACCTCAATGTCATTTCTAATTTAACCATTTTTTAAAATTTGTTTTAGAGTTTAGGTGTTGCARTTTGGACCTTAAATGTCCCCCAGGGCTCATATGCTAAAGGTTTGGCACTACTGGGAGGTGGGTGAGCTTTTAGGAGGTGGGGCCCAGTGGAAGGAAGTTATGTCACTGGGGACATGGCTTTGAATGGGATCTTGGAACTCTGGCTCCTCCTCTCTTTTTACTTTCCAGCTACCATGAGGTAAGCAGCTTTGTTTCACCAAAGGCTACCCACCATGGTGTCCTACCTTGC